ACTTGCTGTTTTTTTCTGATTTCACAAGTGTGGTGTTTTCCCAAGGCTCCCTTCCCGAGCTCAGTGCAAACCTGTCACTCCCGAGTTTCTTTGAGGCCACTTGCTCCCAAGCACTTCACAATAGACCCTTGAGGGCTTGTGTCCATTTGGCCTTTTATAAGTGTAATGCCAATCTCATTGATTTTTCTTTCTCTTTGTCTGGTTTGTATCTCCGGAATGCATTTATTCTTGAAATATTTGTGTGATTTTACAAAAAGGTTTTATAATCAGTTATTTAAGTCTCCATTTGATTATTTCCTTTACCCAACTGCTCCTCATCCCTCCTCTAAAAAATGATAAAGTAAAATGCTGCAGGAGAGCCAGTAGACATTTTTTAAATACTTGGTGCCTGAAACATCAGGCTTTTCATTTCATTTTAGCTCAGGTTGGTGCTTTCACATTAAAATCAGTGAACTGTGGAGAGGAAACAAACTGTAAGAAGGTATTACTCAGTGTTTTAGGGTAGACCACTGTAGCTGTTAAGAGGACGGGATGGTGTACAGTATAAATTTTATTTTTAAAGTGTGAATTGGTTTCTGAATAAGAATCTGAGGCATTTTTGTTCACTTCTAACAAATTCGTACTGTGCTGACCTCTGCCTTTCCAATTCTGGCTAGCACTGGCCTGGGTTGTCCAGTCCTGTTATCTCAGCCACTCTAACTCAACTCTAGAGAATTTCTTCTCTGTTTTTTTTTTTTTTTTTTTTTTTTTGAGACGGAGCCTTGCTCTGTCGCCAGGCTGGAGTACAGTGGCGCGATCTCGGCTCACCACAATCTCCGTCTCCTGGGTTCAAGCAATTCCCCTGCCTCAGCCTCCCGAGTAGCTGGGACTACAGGTGCACAGCACCATACCTGGCTAATTTTTTTGTATTTTAGTAGAGACAGGGTTTTACCATGTTGGCCAGGATGATCTTGATCTCCTGACCTTGTGATCCTCCCGCCTTGGCCTCCCATAGTGCTAGGATTATATTCGTAAGCCACTGCACCCGGCCATGTTCATTTTTCTTCTTGAGACAGTGTCTCTGTCACCCATGCTGAGTGCAGTGGCAGGAACATGGCTCACTGCAGCCTTGACTTCCTGGCTCAAGCAATCCTCCCACCTCAGCCTCCACAGTAGCTAGGAGCACCAGTATATGCCATCATGCCCAACAAATTATTTTTTTGTAGAGACAGTTATCACCACATTGCCCAGGTTGGTCTTGAATTCCTGGGCTCAAGTGACTCTCTCACTTTGGCCTCCCAAAGTGCTGGGATTACAGGTGTGAGTCACTGCACCCAGCCTTCTCTGTTCTTAAATCCACCTAGGCATCTGGATTTCAAAGACGAGATGCCTAGGTAGTCTTTTTTTTTTTTTTTTTTTCTCAGATGGAGTCTGGCTCTGTCACTCAGGCTGGAGTGCAGTGGCACGATCTTGGCTCACTGCAACCTCCGCCTCCCAGGTTCAAGCAGTTCTGCCTCAGCCTCCTGAGTAGCTGGGACTACAGGCACATGCCACCACGCCTGGCTAATTTCTTGTATTTTTAGTAGAGACGAGGCTTCACCATATTGGCCAGGCTTGTCTCAGACTCCTGACCTTGTGATCCACCACCTCGGCCTCCCGCAGTGCTGGGATTACAGGCATGAGCCACTGCACCTGGCCCATTTTCACCTTAATGTAAATTCATCTTAATGTAAATGGACATGAACTTATAACAGGTGAAAGACATTCCCAAGAAAGGACAATTGACAAACTTCCACCAACATGTATATATATATATATATATATATCCGTCTAACTCATCATTTTTGCCAAACTAGAGAAACCTAAGTGCAGGGCACTGTGTTGTGAAACTCTGGCGTGAGCAACACCTCCGTTGCTGGGGCTCTTTCAACAATTTTTCTTTTTTCTTTTTTTGAGACGGAGTTTCGCTCTTGTTACCCAGGCTGGAGTGCAATGGCACAATCTCGGCTCACCGCAACCTCCGCCTCCTGGGTTCAGGCAATTCTCCTGCCTCAACCTCCTGAGTAGCTGGGATTACAGGCACATGCCACCATGCCCAGCTAATTTTTTGTATTTTTAGTAGAGACGGGGTTTCACCGTGTTGACTAGGATGATCTCGATCTCTTGACCTCGTGATCCACCTGCCTCGGCCTCCCAAAGTGCTGGGATTACAGGCTTGAGCCACCGCGCCTGGCAACAATTTTTCTTTTAAAAATATTTTTATTCCAGGAAGTCCAGGGAATTTTTAAAAACTAAGAAAATGAAAAATGTTCACATTGCTCATACTCCAGAGAGAACCCTTCCTACCTCAAACAGATTTCACAAGGTGATGGACAATGGAAGAGTCAAAAAGTCTGAGGTCCCAGTTAGAGCCGTTTCTGGACAATTGTGACTCATTCTATTTTTATTAAGATAAAATTCACTTTTTTTATTTTTCTGAGACAGAGTCTCCCTCTGTTATCCAAGCTGGTGTGCAGTGGCACAATCACAGCTCACTGGAGCCTCAACCTCCTGGGTTTAAGGGATCCTCCCGACTCAGCCGTCTGAGTAGCTGGGACCACAGGCACATGCCACCATACCTGGCTAATTTTTGGATTTTTTTTTTTTTTTTTTTTGGTAGAGGCAGGTCTCATGTTGCCCAGGCTGGTCTCAAACTCCTGGGCTCAAGCAATCCTCGCCTTGGCCTCCCAAACTGCTGGGATTACAAGCATGAGCCACCATACTCAGGCTAGAATTCACCCTTTTAAAGTGTATATATAGGCCAGGCATGGTCACTCACACCTGTACCCAGCACTTCAGGAGGCCGAGCTGGGTGGATGAACTGAGGTCAAGAGTTCGAGCCCAGCCTGGGCAACATGGTGAAATTCTGTCTCTACTAAAAATAAAAAAAGTAGCTGGGAGTGGTGGTGCATGCCTGTAGTCCCAGATATTTGGGAGGCTGAGGCAGGAGAATTGCCTGAACCCAGGAGGTGGAGGTTGCAGTGATCCAAGATCATACCATTGCACTCCTGCCTGGGCAACAGAGTGAGATTCTCTCTCAAAAAAAAAAAAAGTATATATAATTCAGTGGTTTGTGGTATATTCTTCAAATTGTGCAGCCATCACCATTATCTAATTCTAGACCTAGTTTTTTCTTTTTTTGAAATGGAGTCTCACTGTCACCCATGCTGGAGTGCAGTGGCATGATCTCGGCTTACTGCAGCCTCTGCTTCCCAAGTTCAAGAGATCCTCCTGCATCAGCCTCCAGAGTAGCTGGGACTATAGGTGCAAGCCACTGTGCCTGCCTAATATATATATATATATATTTTGAGATGGAGTTTTGCTTTGGTTGCCCAGGCTGGAGTGCAATGGCACGATCTTGGCTCACTGCAACCTCCACCTCCTGGGTTCAAGCGATTCTCCTGCCTCAGCCTCCCAAGTAGCTGGGATTACAGGCATGTGCCACCACGCCTGGCCTAATTTTTGTATTTTTAGTGGAGATGGGTTTTTGCCATGTTCCCCACAGTGGTCTCGAACTCCTGACCTCAGGTGATCTGCCCGCCTAGGCTTCCCAAAGTGCTGGGATTACAGGCGTGACCCACGGCACCCAGCCAACCAATTTCATCACCTCCAAAAAGAAACCCCATACCCATTTGCAGTCATTCCCCATTCCCCAGCCCCTGGCAACCAGTCATAAAGTCTCTCTGGCTCTATAGATTTGTCTCTTCTGGACATTTTACATAAATGGAATCATCCAGTATGTGACTGTTCATGATTGGCTTCTCTTACTTAGCATACTGCTTTCAAGATTCATGTTGCAGCAGATCATCAGTACTTTATTTTTATGACCAAATAACATTCCATTATATAGATATGGTGTTTCCTCCTGCCAAAGATGGTTGGTTGGGATTCCAAAGAAGTAATATGGCCGGGCACGGTGGCTCATGCCTGTAATTGCAGCCCTTTGGGAGGCTGAGGTGGGTGTATCTACTGAGGTCAGGAGATCAAGACCAGCCTGACCAGCAAGGTGAAACCCTGCCTCTACTAAAAATACAAAAGTCAGCCAGTCGTGGTGGCAGGCACCTGTAGTCCCAGCTACTTGGGAGGCTGAGGCAGGAGAATCGCTTAAACCCGGGAGGCGGATGTTGCAGTGAGCCAAGGTCATACCACTGCACTCCAGCCTGGGGGACAGAGCAACACTCTGTCTCAAAAAAAGCACTAAACCTAAAGCATTTATTAGGGAAACTTACAGAGTGGGCTGCAACAATTCTCACGACGGACAGCCAGAGGAAGCGGGTGTTCACCTAGGTACATCCCCAGTGAGGGGTCAGGGTGTGGAGTTTACATGAGGGTTTGTGGAATTTAAAGGTGGGGGTCAGTTTCAGTGTTTTGGGCAACAACCTAGATATCCTTATTAGTGCCTGGGAGTATGCAAGGCTGGTGTTTGGTTGCAAGTCTGCAGGGAGAAACTTGCAGCTGGCTGGTTCACAGGACGGTCAAGGCCCTCTGATACTTGATCAGGGCACAGAAAGCAGGGGAACTCGGGAATCGCACACATAGTACTATATTTTATTTATCCATTCACCAATGAATGGACATTTGGGTTGCTTTCACTTTTTGGCTATTATGAATAACACTGCTGTGAACATTCATGGACGAATTTTTGTATATACATATATGTATTTTTGTATATACATATATACAAGTGTTTGTATATACATATATACATATTTACCTAGGAGAATTGCTGGGTCAAATGGTGATTGTTTAACCTTTTGAGGAACTGCCAGACTGTCTTGCATGGCAGTTGCTTCATTTTACATTCCCATTAGCAGTGTATGAGGGGTCCAGTTTCTGCACATTCTCAAGGTCAGACCACTTTTCTACAGCCCCGCGTAGATTGGGAGCTGATGCTTGCCTCTGCAGAACTCGTCCCACGGCCTAGCCCCGCGCGCAGGCGCACTGGCGGGAGGCCCCGGGGGGCGGGGCGCGCAGCCGTTAGCGGAGGGGCTGTACTGCGCGCGCGCCCCGGAAACGGAAGCCTTTGCGGCCTGCCCGGCGGCTGATTCGAGGGCTTGTTTGGTCAGAAGCGGCGCCTCAGAGAAGCTGCCCTGGATCCCGCCATGCCGTCTGAGGGTCGCTGCTGGGAGACCTTGCAGGCGCTGCGGAGTTCCGACAAAGGCCGCCTTTGCTACCACCGCGACTGGCTGCTGCGGGGCGAGGTGAGCGGTGGCCCCGGAGGACGTAGGCCCTACCGGCCTCTCGAGACCGGACCCTTCTCTCTAGCCCTTGGCACGTCCTGCTCCCGGGAACCCGTGTAGTCTATAACAACCTGCATTTATTTCTCGACTTCTGTGTACGTCCCTCTGTCCTGGGGTTTCTGCCGTCTCCAGTCTATTTTAGCTTTTCCGGGAGCTCCCCTGACTTCACAGTTGCCCCGCGCTCTGAAGTCTTCATTGCTACCCTCAGCTAGTTAGGCGCCTTCTCCGCTCTGCTGCTGTCAAAGCAATCTTGGCCCCAGGCTCAGTTAACTTACTGCGTGTCTCGTGTGCTGCGAGCTCTAGATTTTGTGGCGAACGGTTGATACGACCTAATCTATTGCTGTAAGTGAAATGACCAAATTTCTAGATTTCATTTGGCAGACCTGGGAAATGAATGGGGGCATGGTCACTGTACCTAGCATTTGCAAAGCTCTGCGCTAGGATTGGAGGGATGTGGAGAGTTAAGGCAGGGCTCCCATTCCCGAGTCGCTGCTCGTTAGCTGCAGATAAGACGTTGTCCTTAGTCCTCAGACTTCTTGGGAAACAATCCTAAAGTATTTCCCTGCCTTTTATGTTGTTGACAGTTTTGAAAAATACAGACCTTACATTTTGTAGGTTGACTGCCAGCATAGGTCTGGTCCTTTCAAACCACCAGACCAAGGTTAAGCATATTTGGCAGGAATACCACAGAAATGATGCCATGGCTTTCTCAGTAAGTCACATGAGGAGGCACACAGATGTCAACCCATCCCAATGCTGGTGATGCTAATCTTGATCACCTGGTTACGTTGTTATCTGCCTGGTCTCTCCATTTTAAAATGCTTTATTTTTCCCTTAGTAATTGTTGGTAAGTACTGTGGAGATGACACTAATATCCTTTTTCTGGGCAAACCTTAATCCTCCATGCTTTTTTTTTTTTTTTTTTTTTTTTTTTTTTTTTTTTT